GGGGAGGAGGTGTTGGACAAGATGACCTCCTGAGGTTCCTTCCAACAGTAACTTTCTATGATAATGATAACTTTCTAACCTGTGTACAGGACCTCCACCTGACACAGGAGGTACACAGTCCCACTAGGGGGAATGCCATACTGGATCTGGTATTGGCAACGGGGGATGACATGGTAGGGGACCTACAGATAGGCAGCCATCTGGGGGACAGGGATCACCTAATAATAGAATTCACCATAAGACGTCGAGTGGGTAAAGTAACTAGTAGGGTGAAAGTCCTAGAGACTTTAGGAAAGCTGATTTCAATGAACTCAGGCAATTAGTCAAGGACGCAATGCAGAGTAGGAGTTTTGAAGTGATGGGAGCCCAAGAAGGGTGGCTGTGCCTCTTCGGGCACAAAGCGAGACGATCCCCGTGCGAGGTAAAAGAGGGAAAGGGGCCAGGAGGCTTCCCTGGCTGACCAGAGAAATCCAGGGCAGCCTAAGGGCCAAAAGGGGAGCACATAAAAAGTGGAAACAGGGAGAGATCACCAAAGACGAATATACCTCCTCTGCTCATGCTTGTAGGGAGGAAGTTAGACGGGCCAAAGCTACCATGGAGTGAGGATGGCATCCCAAGAAAAAAGAAATTGTTTTTTAGATATATAGGGAGTAAAAGGAAGGCCCAGGACGGAATAGGACCCCTACTAAAAGGGCAGAAGCAATTGGTGACAGACAGGGGGGACAAGGCTGAACTCGTCAACAAGTTCTTTGCCTCAGCGTTCCTAAGCGAAGGGCACGACAAGTCTCTCACTGGGGTTGTAGAGGGACAGCAGCAAGGCGCCAGACTTCCAAGCGTAGACCCTGAGATGGTGCAGAGTCACTTGGAAGAACTGGATGCCTTTAAGTCGGCAGGCCCGGATGAGCTCCATCCGAGGGTGCTGAAGACGCTGGCCGACATCATTGCCCAGCCACTGGCGGGAATATTTGAACGCTCGTGGAGCACGGGCCAAGTCTCGGAGGACTGGAAAAGGGCCAATGTGGTCCCCATTTTCAAGAAGGGGAGGAAGGAGGACCCGGGCAACTATAGGCCAGTCAGTCTCACCTCCATCCTTGGCAAAGTCTTTGAAAAAATTAT